TTTCCCATACATACATTTTTTACATGATAGTATTTTTTTATTATATTTTTTTAAAATAAAAAATTTTATTTTAAATGTTTGATTTTGGTAATTATGTAGAATTACAAATAAATGTTTGATTTTGGGTATTTAGCTCAACTATTGTTGATTCTGTAACCAATAATCGCCACATGAGTAAAATATTCAACAGAGGAGCAGCACATGATTAAAAATGCTCTAGAAAACGTCATTGTAAAGGTTTAAATCACCAAATGGAAGAAAAAATAAATAAATAAAAGAAAAAAACCAACCTCTATAGCATGAATTGAATAACTTATCGTGTCTGAAACAAGAACAGAGACCATTGTTACTCCGAATAACCCAAAGAGTTTCACCTTTCTCACTTATCTGTTACCCAACTAACTGACTCAAACAAACCTTAAAAACTGCTGAAAAGAAAAAGAAAAATGAAAATCAAATGCAGAACACAAACATACTCAATGTATGAATTATTATTTGTTATATCTATGTATGTATCATCAATCAAGCTAACAAAACCCAAAAATTGTTGTAAAATTGCAAAAATAAAATCTACAAATCTTAAATTCTAAATCAAGCACAAGCTCTTAAATATGGAATCAGTCATGAATTCGGCCCGGTTGGCAATTAATATTTAACTATGAGGCTAGGTAAGAATACGAAAAGAGAGGACTAAATGAATGTGATGAGAGTATTATCCTTAATGACACAGTAATATAGGGTTTTGTGAGTTTCAGATCAACCGGCAAGACCTGAAAACACCAATATGATTATAAATTTTACTAATCACTCCTTCGAGTTTTTCAAACTTTTCCATCGAAACCATAGGGAGGTTGCGATAATGATGTTACCAAATGATGCAAAAAAAAAAAGTTTAAGAACATCCCTATCTAGGGTTTCAGTTAAGTTAAGTGGTGGGTTGGATCGGGTTTAAATTTTTTGGCTTGTTAATAAATGAGTTGGGTTTGGTTGACTCACTAACTGTCCAATCCGTAGTGGGCTGAACCGGGTGACCCGTTTTGACAGGTATATTCCAGTTCAACATAGGTACGACACTGTTTTCACCTCTAGATTAAATTGGAAGTAGATGTTTTTTTTATACCGATTATAGTGTTTAATAGGTATAAAAAAAGTTCTTCAATCTTATATTTTTGTCATTATGCTATTTTTATATCGGTTAGGAAAACATCTTTTTATACCTATTATTTTATAACCGCTATAAAAAACATTCATTTATTACCATTTTACCACCGTCTTACTTTTTATACCTATTTAGATGGCATAAAAAGTTTCTCTTATTTACGATATTGTCACCATACCACTTTTTATATCTGGTGGATTTCAACAGTATTTTGCACTAGTGAGATCTTAAATTTTACTTCCTCTGTCAAGTTAAAAGAAATCTCCAAACTATCAACCGCACTTAATTGAAGTGAATTATTTCAAAATAATATTTTGGTTAACAAGGCCAATTTTCATGAGTTATTTTACATGTTAATTAATAATGTTATTATTCTTAATACTATTTAATACTATGTAGCGAATATTACTTAAATAATTTGAACTATTTAAATTAAAAATAATTACAATCTTTAAATTCAACACAAAATTATTAAACATAATGTTGATAACATTTTGTTAAGTGAACCAAATCTTTATAAGTAGTGAGTTTAAATTCCAAATGTCGTTCTCCAAAAGGACTTATGTTTTGTTAGCCTAATCTTAATCATTTATCAACTTAGATGTGATGATTGAATTCATAATGCTGAAATTGAATTGAAATAACAAGAATTTAAAGATTACCATTGAAAATTGAAAAGAAGCTTCGTTGGAATTGAGTTTTATAAATCACATTAGTATAAAATTCTATACAACATATCATGTTGTCGTTCACACATTCACATCAAAGTATATTCGGTTTTATTTTTTAAAATCGAGTTCTAAATATATGTTAAATCATTAATTCCTTAATTCATTTAACATATATTTTGCATTAAAATCAGATGTTCAAGAATGACCAGAAGATTTGACAGAATTCCTAGTATTACTCCTTTTGGTTGCTCTATCTTATATGCACGTTCAAGTTTACTTTCCAAACTCATAAACATTCATATTACATCATAATTCCATATAATGACATTAAAAAAAGAAGAGCATATGAACAACATAAATATATTACACATGAAAATTACATCAGAGTGAGTTTATTATATCAAAATTCCAACAAAAAAGAAATTTAACTACTCATAGTCATCTAAAACATACACATTCGTTGAAATTCTGTGAAAATCGACATCTTGATGTCTTGAAGTAGCCTCTCTCAAGTTTCTAGAATATTTTTGTGTTTTTTCATACCAAAACTTCCTTTGTTTTTTTCTTTCTTAACTTAATAACCACTCCAGAAATATATAATTCGCCAGCGAGCAGATATGCATGCACTAAACAAAAATTCAACTAATCATTTATTAACTAATCTCACTAGTTGAGTTAACCACTCTGCTCATTGAGCAAGTGACTTTCCTTCTAGCTGAGCGAGTCATGAGTGGCTTGGAGAGAAAATGCTGACAGATCTTTAATGATGCATCAAGTTCATGTATAACAAGCTACACAAATTTTCCTAATCACTATTATATTTTTTGGTTTAATACCTTTTTTGGTCCCAATTTTGGTTGGGAATGTTCAAAATAGTTCTAATTTTTTTTTCTGTTCAATGTTGTCCTAAAGAACGTAATTTATGTTCAATTTAGTCCTTTTTGCAGAAGACGTTTAAATCGTTAACGACGCACTGTCCAATTGTGCAATAAATGACACATCACCCTTGACATGTCATCATCATCTCCTACCTCCAGAAGCCCTAATTTTCCCTACACAGAAACCCTAGCCACCACCTAATCCTAACCGCCGCCGCCACGGTCAAGACCAACCACCATCTTCGCACCTCCATCATCTTCTCAACCACCTAAGCCCTAATTTCTGAAAATGTATTTCAGATTAGGGTCTCAGCTCGCCAGACCACCATCTTTGCGCATCATCTTCCTCGCGCTTCCAAAACCTTAGGCCGCCACCACCGCTGTACAGCAAAGCCCATTTCAGGTCGTCATCGCCGTAAGAATTGCGCCACTCAACGCGAGAACCTACAACCACCACATCTCCATTCGCGACGCCATCAAACCTGCAGCAAATCACGAGTCTTCCTCCTCTAGCACCAACCTAAATCGCGAGTTTCATGCAACATTCATAGCCAACAACGTAATCTCCATGGCCGCCGCTACTACTACCACTCTCCCTTCTTCAACGCGTCGCCGCGACACACACCTTCATCATCCTCGCCAACCCCAAACCTGCAAACCACAAGAACCAGATATCTGCAGGACCACGAGCTTAAATCGCAAATCCCTCTGGCGAACCGATCGGCTCCCGTGCTTCCACCGTTCGGTAGCCTCACCCCTTCAGCCGTTCGGTTCCCTTCTTCTTCTCCTTTACTGTTCGGCCTCTTCCTGCCTTCCACCTCACTGTGCCTGAAGGGAATCCACGTGAGTAGTTAAATGCCATCTCATTTGGATTTTGCATAGCTGGACAGTGTGCTGTTAACGATTTAAACGCTGTCGACAAAAAGAACGTAATTGAACATAAATTACGTTCTTTACGATAATATTGAACAGAAAAAAAATTAGGACCATTTCGAACATTTCCAACCAAAATTGGGAAAAAAAAAGATATTAAACCTATATTTTTCTATGAGAAAAACACATGAGTAATTACAACTTTGAAACATTTTTTTTATAAAAAAAAAACACTCATGAATAATTACAACTTTGAAAATCTTAATAAACATAAATAACAAGTATTTTTCATCCAATGTCACGCAAGCGATTTTCCCTTTCATCTACACATATAACAAATAATATAAAACTATATCCACTTGGACCACACAAAGCTTCTTATAAGGATAAGTAAACTCTTAGGCCACACACGCATATATATTAGAAAATTACAAAGAAGAATAATGTGGAAAAATTATTAAAACAGACAGCGCTTGTAAAAATAAAATAAAATTTGAGCGTACTAACTTTAATTTATTACAACATTGTAACACTTGTACACTCGAAATTAACATACTATGTAATCATGGACGGATTTATAAATTTGTCTTCGGTATTATTATTATTATTTCATGTGTGTGTAGATTTATCAAAGGATAGGGTGAATTGAATTGAATTGAATTGCATTACAGTCATCGCAAAAAGTGCAAACAACATGAAAGCTATATAGAACTACTAGGCTCTTAAAAGATAAAGATGGTTTGGAATTGTATAGAACACAGAAGGAATACTCAACAAAAGAAAATAGATACAGAGAAAGAACCAGGTTCCTCAGAATATTGATCGGACCAATAGAAATGAATACAAAGTTGAGTGTTATTAGTTAAAATCTACCACTATGTTCTCTTTGGTTCTTTCTCAATGTTGATAAGCTTAAAATAGTTTTTTTTCCAACATAAAAACTAGGAAACGAAAACACAGAAAGGAATAAGACAGAGCAAAACAGGAAAAAAGGGAGGGTAAAAAGTAAAGCTAATGACATCATATTTCATACTTCATAACAAGGGAAATTTTAAAATTTCCAGCACTTCGAATTGTGAAAGAAAAGGAATAAATTCTTAAGCCAAATTCTGTTTGGCTAAGAGATAACAAGGGAATGTCCAAAAAGCATAATCAAGTTGACGGGGAATCGAAGCAAAAAAGAGCTTTTTCATAGATTTAAAGATGGCATTATCAGTGGTTCAACAACTCAATCCCATTCCCATTTTCTTATATTCCGATTTAAAAAATTCCCCAAAAAGTTTGATTCACAAATACCAATGTAAAATCATAATTAATTAATTCGTACCTATATTTCATCTCCGCGCACCAACATTAATTACCATGAATAATCGAGATTTCAGAACCTGGGAGACAAAAATAATATGATTTCACTCAGAATTCAAACGAAAACGCCCAGTTTTCACGCTTTAAGTTAAAAGAGAGCACACTAAGATTATCATTAACCTAATTGTAGCACAGAGCTCGTAACTAATTAACTAACTAACGACGAAATGAAAGTTAGTTACGGTGGTTGTGACATTATCCCTCACATGATAAAGCATGCATTGGGATTTTCATCGCTGAACAATTCGAAGGAATAGGAGGGTGGTGAAGGTGAAGGATAAGTTTCTGAGTCTGACTCCGACCCAGCGAACCGATACACGTGAGAATACGAATACGGTTGCGAGGACGTATAATACGCAGCACCGTAGCGGGTGACGGAGGGATACGCTGTTGTGTGGTAGGTTCCACCATACCCCGGAGATGCGGGTGCGTGATAGTGCGGTGGGAACTGATGCCGTGTGGGACTCTCGTTGGGTGGGCCCAAAATAGTAACGAAGCCTGGGCCCGGCCCATGTCCATGACCACCAGGCATCTGGTTCCGGTTGGGGTTCCAATCTCCACCGGGGTGTTCGACCACAGTAACACCACCCTCGTTACCGTTGATGACGACATTCCCTTTTTGCCCCTTGCTTTTCGACTTTTTCCCTCCACTCCCACCCTCGTTCGCTCCTCCGTTATCGTCAATTCCCGGCACGTTGATGGTAACCCTTCTCTCCCCCAATGACTGGTAACCGGGTGGCAAAGTCATGGCCTGCCTCAGCTCCATCCTCGGATCTTGGAACTGCAAACCGGCTAAGCCGGTTGCGCTTCCTTCACCCATTCTGTTAACGTTGAAAAACCCTTCGCTGTTTCTGATCATGTTGCCACCTTCCATGATTTTGCCCGTGTCTTGAACGACAACCTTAACAGCTTCCTTTTCGTTGTTGGTGTTTTGTTTCTCGTCGCCGCTTGGGTTACTTTCTTCGCTGCTTTCTTGCTCGCTCGGTCTCTCTTTGTTCTCTGTGCTTCCCTTCTTCTTCTTCTTTTTCTTCTTTTTCTTCTTCTTCTTCAGTTCGGGTTGGTCAGGCCACAGTTCTGCTCGTTTCCCTGTTTCTGTTAATTTTTTAATCAAAGTCTCGCTGTCGACGTTCCCCTTTACCACCACTTTTTGTTCCTTCAAATCAATCGTCGTGCAATAAACACCTGGCTCAAAGAGGAATTCGTAGTAGTTAAGTATAACGATATACGACAGCCTTGGACATTCAGAAAAACAAACAACCGATCATTAGCTTCAGTTAAGAAACTAATCAAACCGTTAACCGTGATCTCCATAGAGCGGTAAGATTGAAGGAAATTTACGAGGATGTTAGGTTTTTAACATGATTACCGTCTATGCTTTGTAGAATTTTCTTGACTTTCCTTGTGCAGGCTTGACAATGAATGGAGACTTTCAACACACAGCTCTGGAGAACAGAGGCGATAGGAAGAGGATTAGAATCTGGTGGAGATGAGAAATAGTGAGAGAAAAAGAGAGAAGAATGAATGCTCAACCTTGCACGTGAGATGTTCTAAACCTTCTTCTCCTTCTCTGACTTCGACTCTTGTTTCTGTTGCAGCCATTAGAAAGACAGAAAATTGAGATGCTTCAGTTGTGTAGCAGAAGTGTGCTTTGAAACTGGTTAAAATGCTTCAAAAGCAAGGAAACGATGCTCTAAGAACAAGGAACCTGCGAGAGTGGGGAGAAACATCGTGAGGACAGAGATGCTATTCACAAATTCTTGGATCCATGGAAGTAAAGAGAAATTTATTCTACTATTTTAAGTATTTTACTTTTTGGTGAAATTCCTTATTATTGTTATTGTTTTAATAATTATAGCAATATCTCAGTGGATACTTTTATTTTTTTTTCTGGATTGTTCTTCAAAATATTAATATTATAATTTAATTATGGTGTCAATATTTTATCGGATTTTATCTAATAGTAACTTTTCTTAAACGTAATCCTACGTTTCAAAATTTCATTTTGCTATCTTTTAGAAGAATATTATACAATTGATAGATATTTTTACTGGATAAATATTATGCAAATTATTGTTGTAAGTTTTACAGAAAAAGGTATGCATAAATATTATTTGAAAATAATATCAATATAAACATTAAGCTTTTAACTTAATTTAATAAAATATAACAACATATATAGTGTTATGTACAAATTAACTTCTTCTGAATAGTGTTATTAAAAACTTGATATACGGGTGTGGTTTATGTAATGGATACTTATCATTATAGCATTTGATGTCTCTTCTTCACCTTTTCTGTTTTGTCAATTTCAATCAGCCCCAGATACACTTTGAAGGTGAATTTTTGTTTCTTTTACAATTCTTTTGGTGTGTGTGTGTGTGTATATATATATATATATATATATATATATATATATATATAAATGAAGGCCAATGCTTGTAATGACTTGCTGCAGAAACAACCCATGTTTTCACAGGTTTTACTGGAAATAAATGTGACTTTCATGAGATTGGAGATATGTCATAATTTCCATCAATATCGAAGCAGTTGCAAAATTGAAAATCGTTTGAAAATCGTTTGGAGATATGTCATAATTTGTATATATGTCATAATATATACAAGTGTACATGTCCGTGGTTTAGTGTAGTTTTCAAGCAATTTGTAGATTGAAAAAATATTTTTCTACAAAAAGTAATGAGATCCATTTCATATCATGCGAAAATTGATTTGTTTTTTGTATTGAGATTTGTTAGAAGTTTGGATATGTGGTGGTACATCATGAAGATTAACTAATTTATGGTGCAAAAATGATTATAAACGTTAGATCGTGGGTGAAATATAGGCAAGTGGATTCCCTACACATTTGAATTGAGTTTCATTTGAAAAAAATTACAAATTTAAGCATGAGTCAAAATCGAATTTGATTCATTTAAAACTAATTTATTAATACACTTTGTTTAATGATTCTTATTTTTCTCTTCAACTCTCTTCCCTCGTTTCTTTTCTCACAAAACAAAAACTTTTTAAATATTTAAAATTATTATATATATATATATATATTATTTTAATATATATATATTAAAATAATAACAATCCTCCACATATTGCAAAAGATAAGAAACAATGATTGAAACAAAGAGAAGAAGAAAAATCCTGGGTTTTATAAGATGTAATGCATCAGAGCTGGTATAACAAGTTATATGAACTAATTCTAGATCAAGAAACTTAACACACAGAATAGTTGATATAACAAGCTATATGAACAAAAGATACTTTAGTGTGTTAGAGGTTTATCAATCACAGTACACTCCCACAATCCTTGCTGTTACTGCTGTGATGCGCTTACTAGGCCATGCGCATGCCCGGTATTCATGAGTGCTCTAGACATCATGCAAATATCCCATGCAAGCAGTCCCACTTGATCTCTTTTTCACCTTTTCTGTTTTGTCAATTTCAATGAGTCCCAGATACCCTTTGAAGGTGAATTTTTGTTTCTTTTACAATTCTTTTGATATAAATATATATATATATATATATATATATATATATATATATATATTAACACATGTTTTAATATTTTTNTATATATATATATATTAACACATGTTTTAATATTTTTAATAGTTTCACGTCTTTAAGAAGTTTAAATATTATTTATTTCTTTATTTTTTGATATATTTTTTAAGAAAAAATATCATAAGAGAGTTTTAGATTCTAAAAGGAATAATACTTCCGATGTATTTTTTAAATTTGGTGTTAAAGTAAACAATATCTTATTATGACTAAGATTTTTGTATTCTAGCCGATTTAATTTTTTTCAGTTTTCTTGTTGAAAAATAGATTGGAAGAAAAAACTAAAAGGCTACAATTATTTTAAGTTAAGATTTAACAGATGGTAAGGTCACATCTTTTTTAAATTCAATAAACAAATAGAGTTGTATTGACCCATCAAATAATACGGATTAGATTAGACAACTTATTATGATAACACTAATAAATATGAATATGTTGTGATAATTTAATAATTTTTGAATAGTTAAAAAAGAAATAAACAAAAAAATTAAGAAAAAAAATATTAAAAAACCAGTAATATGAAAGCAACAAGAAAAATTAACTATTAGAACACGACATAGAATGAAAATATAAAAGGAAAACTAATTTTGAAAAAAAATAGATGCATCGACCTTTGTTGCTTTTGAACATCTAATCGATACATAAAAATTCTTTCTACATTTTTTTTTCAACTTGTAACACATTTTTTCCTCTTCATTTTTGTCTATGTATTATTTTTGGTTTGTAGGAGTTAGTTCCAAATTGATGTGATAAAATGAGCAACAAGTAAATATTTAGTGAATAAAAAATGTTAAATGCCCCTAACCATCGTTATACGAGAGGTTTTTCTACAATCACCACAGATACCATTCCTTAAATATGCGATTTTTCATTTGAACATCTAGGCGAAGGGAACATCCTGGTTTTTACAAGAACAAAAGTTGGTGAAAAAAATGTTGTTAGCTTGAATAGTCAAACACTTTGGCATATAATCATTGAATGATTTCTTCGATGGTAATCTTAATCGTTAACAACTTCATCGTTTCATTTTAAACAAAATGATACAATTTGTTTCATACATCTATGTATAAACTTCATTCGACTGCAGCTAGCTGCTTATCTACCCAGTACAAAAAAACCCAGAAAACTATATATATATCCCATAACTACACACGTTATCACAGTTAAAAAAAATAACGAATTATGACAAAAGAATTTAGAAGTTCTCTTTGTGAAAATCGAACTTAGTGTTGGTTTTTCTGGAAAAGTCAAGAGAAAGCCTTTTAAGTTCTCCAACCAATGTGTGCGCCCCACAGTAGAAAACACCTGAAATTAATCGAATTGTATGGAAAAATGAGATAAGATTATATAAATTGAATTGAAAAAGATGAACTTGAGCAATATTAGAGTACTTACCAACTCTTTTTCCAGGGTGTTTGAGAGCAGTATGTTTAAAAACACTGCGCCAATTTGGTCTAGCAAAATGTGTCTTGACCCTTGTTCCTGAAACAATATCCACACCACTCTTGGCATGGTGGAGAGATTGAAGCATGGTGATCAAAGCAGATCGAGCATCTCCTTCCTCATACACACTTGTGCAATAGTTGTGAAGCTCGATTATTCCATCCTTGTCATACTCTGCAACATCATCCATCACACCCTTGAACCATTCGAAGGAACCTTGCTCACGAGTAACCCAGTAGAAATAGGCCCTGTTGGTGGCAAAAGGTTTTCTCTTGTTGTTCTTAACTCCACTTTCTACCATCCCTTCTTCTATGTCTTTCTGCTGTTTCATGTTGTTTAGCACGTCTTTCAGGATACTGATCAAAGGGGTGGCTCCAATTCCCAGACCCACCAGAAGGATCACTTCGTAGTCTTTGTAGTCTTGTGCTGGAGCTCCATAAGGACCATCAATCAGAAGCTTTGGCATCCTACAAAAACAATTTCAATTTCACCACAATCAGTAAACTAAGAAGAAGCAGTTTTGGTGTTTTCAGAAGTAAAATCGCTGTCTTTATATTTCAACTTACCTTGGTATGTTGTTTCCTTGTAACATATCAGCTCGCAGAAGACCACTCTGGTCACCACTTGCTGGTTGACATGCCTGCATAATGGAATAGCAAGGTAAGTTATATTATATGCAACATTTTTGAGGAAAAGTGGTTGTGTCTTGAGCAAAATTTACCTTGGCAAAAACATTCTTAAGCTGTGATGTCCAATCACCCAATGTCCGAATGTGAACGCTTACATAGTCATCTCCTGGTGCTGATGTAATAGAGAAAGGATGCCTACACAACAACGTTGACAACTTTGTCAACACCAAGTTTTAACAGTAATGTGTAACAGAATCATAGTAGTAACAAAAAAGGAATACTCGTTATACCATTGAAATGGAGAAACATCTGAACAGTTAACGAAAATATACTGTCCACTGGAGTACTTGAATCCTTGTGGTTTAGACACGTGTAAGGCCAACACATTTCCTGGGTACACTGCCACCTGAGTTTCAAGAAAAATGCATTAGAAACATTAGTGTATAATAGAAAAAACGAAAATTTGAACTTAATCAGAACTTCAAGTGAGAAGGTGAAAAATTCTCTTTGTACCTTCAAAATCTTGACACTTTTGTAGCCAGACCTGAAAGCACGAAGCAATCGCTCGCATGCGTATAGGATCATAGGAATTGCAAGATACATCCAAGTCTGTGGAAATAAATTGGGACTGAATTAAGAACAATATTTCATATGAAGCAAAGTTAAAGGGTAATTGATAGTTGATGCATGCGTGCATACCGTTTTCTTGTACCATTCCTTGGAGAGGTACAAGTAGTATCCGTGAACGATGAAAAGGGCATAGACGATGACAAAAAGATGGTGAGAGTACCAAAAGGCGTTGAAGCCAGTGAGCTTTTTGAGAGGCTTGGGGAGCTTCAATCTGTTTCTACGGAACCAGGGTTGAGCCAAAGTGTAGGCTATAGCCATAAGCACCACAATGGTTATCCCGGTCCAACCCTCTGTCCCTTTCACGAACCACCAATAATCATTGGGTCTGTCTTCTCCAAAAAATGGCTTCATGGGCTCATATTCCTCCTCTGTCGTATGCAACAACCTCGGAAAGT